TTTTTGTTTTCTTTTGATTTTCCCTTTCACTTAGAGCTCATATTAATACTCTGTGTATTTTAGTCATTCATAACAACATTTCTTAAGTGTCATATTGTGTAGTCATCATGCTCAAATGCCTGGGAGCCTGAGTTTAATGCTGTTCTCGGAGTTCATTCTATAAAACTTCAATATTGATTAGAAGAGTACTATCTATGGATGATCACATTTGTGTTTCAGAATGATCAATCTTTGCAGTTTGGAAGATGAATTGGCAAAAGGGATGGGAGTAGGGTGATAGAGTGACTGGAGGCAGGGGGACTGATTAGGAGTCTCCTGTAATTGTATACGTTAGAGGTAATAAAGACCTGAATTAGAGCAGTGGAAGTTGAAAGGAAGTGATAGTAAAGCAAATATTTTGGAGATAAAATTGACAATATCTGGCAATCAGTTGCATGAATAGATGGAAGGCAAAGAGGAGTTGAGGTTTATGCAGAAGGAAGATATCTCTGCTACTAAATGATGGAGAGGAATTAGGAGTTCATGAAGAAGACTGGGTTTGGAACAGACACTGTTGAGTTCATTTTTGTTGTGGTGACTTACTGTCCTGGTTTGCTCGGGGTTGAGGGAATTCCGAGGACATGGAACTTTCAGTGCTAAAACTAAGTCGTGGGTAAACCTCAAGTTTAGGATATCCCGGATTTGAGGCATATATGGATGGTGTTCAGCAGGTGATCAGGCAGGTAGTGTGGTGTGTAGGAAGGACATCAGAGTCAGAGTCAGAGGCACAGCTTGGGGAGTTGCCTGTATAGAGATGATGGGTGAAACCACAGGAGTTGGTATAATAATTAAGGAAAAATGCATAGCATGAGATTGTAACTACTGCAAATCCTTTGTGGAATGAGAAGGGGCATAAATGAATGAATAAAATAATTAAGAGGAAATTGTGAGAAAGAAAAAGGCAGCAGGCTGGAGGTGGCTGCACACCTACCTATGTAGGTTGGCTGTAAAAAGAAACCTGAGGCTGAGCCATGAGAAGTCAAAAGTGGACCAGAACACAATGATGATGTCACAGAAGTCAATAAAGAAGGAAAATTTTAAAAGATGAGGGTTGATGTAGATTAATATTGAGGATAGGTGATAGGTTCTGGTGATTAAGAAAAATAAATTTTCTATGGAGTCCTGAAATCAGATTACAAGATACTGACAGAGAGTGGGAAGTAAAGAAGTATGGGCAGCAAGCTTAGATTCACGTTTCTGCCAGCAGTGAGGAGAAGGGAAAGAGTAATAGCCTCCTTCAAACATCAGCTCAAGATCCAACTCTTCTTGGAAGTTTTCCTGAACTTGATATGCCTGCTGTTCTCTCCCTTCTATAATGTAAACATATATCAAAATATCACATTCTATCCCATCAATAAATACAATTATTATGTCATTTAAAAATAAAATAAAATTTAAAAATGCTCCTATAGTACCCAGAGGCTAGACCACACTCTGTAGAAAAAAAAAAAAAAAAACCGATTGATATACTTCATTATTTCCTGATTGCTTCAGTGTGCTTGGCTGATCTCCCTGTTAGACTCTAAGTTTCCTTAGGGCAGAGACTATGGCTTATATAGTAAATCACAGTGGCCACGAGAAAGACCTTCAGAAATATTTGCTGGTTATTAGGATGGAAAGATTCTCCAGGTCAGATTTTCTTAACTTGAACAGTATTGGCTTTGGGGGCTGTATAATTCTTCATTCTTGGAGACTGTTCTGTGTACTGTAGGATGTTTTGTATTTCCCCAGCCTCTACCCACTAATTGATAATGGCACCTCCCCTCAATTGTGACAACCAAAAGCCTCTTCAGACATTGTCAAATGCTCCTGGTGGGCAGACAGGTGGGTGGAGGGGTGGTGGGGAGGGACATCAGCCCTGAGAACCACTGCTTTAGGTGATCTGGGCCTAGTCTCTTTAACCCTTTGTCCTTCAGCAGGGGCAATCCAAAGTCTTCCTTGAGTGAGAAACACTATTACCCAGTTCACAGCCTACAGAAAGACATGTATAACATTCTTGGTTATTTGTTTTCAGTTTTGAGACCCTTAAAGTCATTCCTTTCTTTGCTTCTCCCTGGAGTGAGTGAATGGCTCCACACTTGCACTTAAACACCAAGTACTGAAATAATGCCAACATAACTTCCCTTATGATCCGGAATATCAAAGTTAAGCTAGAAAGAGGTCTAGTCACAGCAGTGGTGTATAATGTTTCTGCAACAGTAAGGGAAGTATTTATGAATTTGTTCATACAGTGCAACTAATAGTTAATAACACTTACTCTTTTCAAAGCATCTTTCAAGTATTAGATTGTAACTCTGCTGGTAGCCTCCTCAGAGATTGGCCAGAGAATGGAAAGAGAGAGAAAAAGAGGGAGAGTTGTAAAAGAAAGGTGGAGAAGGTTTCAGTGCTCATTCAGAGCAGAGAATTCAGGAGACCTTGACTCTCATTCTTCAGGTTGAACTTGAAATGTCTTCCTGAGACTTTATGTATCATTCCAATGGGGCCTGTGGTCCCAGAAAGATGTTTATTTGTTATGGTCACAGGGAATGAATGGATGTGGCTTAAGCTGGACTAGGAGTGAGGATAAGGAAAATCCCTGATCTCTTGCTGTGTTCTCTCACCTTTTCCAGGCTTTGGTCCTTGCTATTGCCCTGTGAATCTTCTTATTGCCCTATGGTGAAGTCCAATAAACCAGTCAGCACATCTTTATCAAGTACCTGCTAAATACTCTTAAGACACTAAAGAGTTATGCATCCAAATAAAAATAATCAAGGTTGTGCAAGGCATAGCTCATCCTTCCTGTTTCTTAACAGAGCATGGCAATTTATTGCAGTAAGCATTTTCCATGTTTTCTTAGATGTTGTCCCCATGACAGCCTGAGATAGGCATGATTAGTATCTATCCTCTTTTTACAGAGAAAGAAATATGAGGCTCAGTCAGGTTAAATCTTGCCAGGGGCATATAGCTACAAGGTGACAAGAGCTGAGATTCAAGCCCCCATCTGTTCAACTCTAAAGCCTGTGGCTCTTATCCATTTTGCTAGTGTAATTTAGGATTTACTTATCTAGTCCAGTTTCTCCATTTTTTTTTCAAATGGGTAAGTGATTCCATTTTATAGAAGGAAGAATCGAAGACCAAAAAATATAAATGGCTTTCTCAGAATGACATGGTAGTGGTGGTGGTGACGTTAGGAAACATCTCTGTTTTCATATTTTTAAAATGAAGATGATATTCATTTGTTGCTGCTTTTTTTTTTAACCACATGGCTATTTTCCTACAGCTGTTCTGTCACTGTAGGCTTTGCCTATCACATCTGACCTTGCCTTATAGCAAACAGATTGTTTTAATCTAGGCTTCAACTCATGGCTGTGCAGATCTTCTCCTGATTTTGTTTGTTGAATGAAAACTCCATTAGGTCAAGGGTTGTGGCTACATGTGCTTGCCATCATATTCCCAGTCTCAGGATAATATCTGGCACACAGAAGATGATTAATAAATATTTGTGGGATGAATGAATGAATGTATTAACTTTCCAGTTCTGGTGCCCAGATCAGTTCTTTTGACATACTGCTATACATAGCTTAATGTAAAGACTGGTTACATCCTACAGCCACAGGACCTGTCCAGGCACTATCCTGTGAACAGAGCTGCTTACCTGCTTTGCTCTGAATAGAACCTACAAACTTCAGTTAGTTCATGCAGGACTGATACCTAAGTCACTGTGTACTTGAAAAGGTTGATAGGACTGTACAGGCCGATATAAGTTTAACTTAGAACTTGGTACAGATGACAAAAATGATTAGTTGGGCCAAAGTGAACTCCCAATGTGCAATGAATCAAATGGATTTTACTAGAAGGTGTGTATATATACAAATAAATGCTCCCAAACTAAATAATATAGCCAAGGTTGGAACCAATTACCAGTCTTTCATCACTAGGAATCCATGAAGTTAATAGATAGGAATGATTGCCTATTCTGTGGTCTGGATTTATCATCATTAAACAAGTATTTCAGTATCCTATAGCAGGCTAAGCCAGTATATGTCAGACTGGCTACTTCCTCACAATGGAACTGATAACTAACTGTGGAGAGTTCATAGGTTCCACAAATGCTCAAAGTTCAGCTTGGTGAAGCTTACACTCCCTTTACTGCAATCTAGTGCATTGGTGATCTCTCTTCTAAAATGCTAATTATACATTATGGGCAAAACCTGTAGATTCACCTCCTGTACTGTACTTAGGAATGCTATGCTGTTTTGTGGTTTTCTTTCATTTTTTTTTTTTTAAGATGGAATCTCACTCTGTCACTAGGCTGGAATGTAGTGGTGCAATCTCTGCTCACTGTAACCTCTGCCTGCTGGGTTCAAGTGATTCTCCTGCTTCAGCTTCCCAAGTAGCTGGGACTAGAGGCACGCAACACCACGCCCAGCTAACTTTTTGTATTTTTAGTAGAGACAGGGTTTCACCATGTTGGCCAGGATGGTCTCAATCCCTTGATCTCATACTCCACCGGCCTCGGCTTCCCAAAGTGTTGGGATTACAGGCGTGAGCCACTGTGCCCGGCCTGCTATGTTTTAAGTTTGTTACAAACTTGTTACCAAATGTCAGTGTCCTAGAAGTTGCACAGACCATTTTGATTGGCAGAAATAAAAATATACTCCCAGGTGGAGTGTTACATAGAAGAGTATCCCCTGGTTTCTTGGGGGTGTCAATTCAGGGTTTGCTTGCTGTTTTATATTATAAATACATCTGGTTGCAAAGGGCCTATAAGAAGTCTGTTTCCTGTTGCAGTGTGGTAAGGTAAGTAAACTCCCAATTGCACATTAAGGGCAAAAGTCATAGAGTCTCCTCCCATACTGAGGAATGCTATGTTCTAAGTTTGTTACAGACTTGTTACAAAACATTGGTGTCCTGGAAGCAGTTGTACAGACCATTTCGATTGGCTGAGATAGAAATATACTTCTGGGTAGGGTGTTACATACAAGAGTGTCCCCTGGTTTCTTGGGGGTGTCAATTCAGGGGTTGCTTCCGTTTTATCCTACAAATACATCTGGCTGCAAAGAGCCTACAAGCAGTCTGTTTCCTGTTGCAGTGTGGTAAGGTAGGTAAGAAGATCTCTCTTCTAAACTGCCAATTGCACATTATGGGCAAAAGCCAAAGAATCACCTCCTGTACTGTACTTAGGAATGCTGTGTTCTAAGTTTGTTACAAACTTGTTACATAAGTTTGTTACTAACTTGTCACAAAATGTCAGTGTCCTGGAAACAGTTGTACGGACCATTTTGATTGACTGAGATAGAAATATACTTCCAGGTGGAGTGTTACATACAAGAGTGTCCCCTGGTTTCTTGGGGGTGTCAATACAGGGGTTGCTTCCTGTCTTGTCCTATAAATACATTTGGTTGCAAAGAGTCTACAGGCAGTCTGTTTCCTGTTGCAGTGTGGTAAGGTAGGTAGGAAGATTTCTCTTCTAAAGTGCCAATTGCACATTATGGGCAAAAGCCGTAGAGTCACCTGCTGTACTGTACTTAGGAATGCTATGTTATGTTTTAAGTTTGTTATAACCTTATTACAAAATGTCGATGTCTTGGAAGAAGTTTTACAGACCATTCTCATTGGCTGAAATACAAATATAATTCTGAGTGGAGTGTTACATAAAAGAGTATCCCCCTGATTTCTTGGGAGTGTCAATTCAGGGGTTGCTTCCTGTTTTATACTATAAGTGCATCTGGCTGCAAAGAGCCTACAAGCAGTCTGTTTCCTGTTGCAGTGTGGTAAGGTAGGGGTCCTGCCTCTGACTTCTTTATGACCCAGAGTAGGGCCTGAAACTGCAGGATAACTGAGGTAATGACAGATACAAACTGGAGGAGCTGAGGGCTAGAGGTAATATATTATTGAGGTGATCCTTACGAAAGAGTAGCTGGAATTTAGCCAAGGCCTGACTACAGCTTAATCAAGACAAGACTAGGGCCAAGGTCTGGTTAAGGCCTAGCCAGCACCTCAGCTTAGATAAGGCTTACCTGAGGCTTAAGCATAGTTAAGCTCTAGCCATGGACTTGGCCAAGACCAAAGCCTAGTTAAGGCTTGCTCAGCCCAGTTAATGCCTAGGCAGTCTGGTTACAATCTCACCAGGGGCTAAGCCCACTTAAGGCCTACTCAGAAATCAGTTAGGTGGAGACAGAGCCTAAGTCTAGTTAAGTCCTAGTCAGCCCAATTAAGACCTAGTCAGAGCCGGCTGGGCACGGTGGCTCATGCCTGTAATCCCAGCACTTTGGGAGGCCAAGGCAGGAGAATCACCTGAGGTCAGGAGTTCAAAACCAGCCTGACTAGCATGGTGAAACCCCATCTATACTAAAAATACAAAAATTAGCTGGGCATTGTGGTGGGTGCCTGTAATCCCAGCTACTCAGGAGGCTGAGGCAGGAGAATCACTCGAACCTGGGAGGCGGAGGTTGCAGTGAGCCGAGATCATGCCATTGCACTCTAGCCTGGGAAATGGAGCAAGACTCTGTTTAAAAAAAAAAAAAAAAAGACCTGGTCAGAGCCTAAGCCTGCTTCTGGTCTAGATTGCACGGTTAAATCTAGTTAGCTTGGTTAATACCTCATTAGGATATTGTTGAAGCATTATTGGTGTCCAAGTCTAGTTTTGGTCCAGTTAGAACCCAATTCAGCCCTAGGCAAGGCCTAAGCCTAATTTAGGTCTAGTCAGAGGCTAGTTAAGTTCTAGTCAGCCCAACTAGGACCTATTCAGGTCCAATGCCTAGTTAATGCCTAGTCAGTCCAGTTTAGCCCTAGCCAGAGTCTAAACCTAGTTAATTTCCAGTCCTAGTCTAGTTAAGCCCTAGCAAGATCATAAGTGTAGTTTAGTCCTAGTCAGAACTTAGTTAAGACTGAGTCAAAGCCTTAACCTAGTTAAGGCCTAGTTAGCCCAGTTAAGACTTAGCTAGAGCCTAAGCCTAATTCAGGTCTAGTTAAGCCAGTTAAAGCCTAGTCAGGGCCTAAACATAGTTAAGAGCCTGTCAGAATTTTGATAAAGTATAGCCAAGGACTAAGCCTAGTTAAAAGCTAGCTAGCTTGCTTAAGACCTCATCAGTGTATTATTAAAGCATAACCAATGCCTAAACTTAGGTTAGGTCTAGTCAGAAGCCAGTTCAGCCCTAGCCAGGGTCTAAGCCTAATTTAGGTCTAGTCAGAGCCAGGTTAAGTCCTAGCCAGGGCCTATGCCTAAATTATGTTGTAGTTCTAGTCTACTTAAGTCCTAGCAAGGTTATAAATATAGTTTAGTCCTAATCAGAACTTAGTTAACACTTGGCCAGGACCTAAGCCTAGTTAAGATGTAGTGAAGCCTAATCAAGGTATAGGCAGGGCTTCAGCCTAGTTAAGTGTGAGTCAAAGCCCAGTTATGGCCTAGCCATTACCTAACACTAGTTTAGACTTTGTTAGAGCCCAGTTAAGGCCTAGTCAGGGCTTAAGCCTAATTAAAGTGAAGTCAGAGCCTACGTAAGGCCTAAGTCTAGTTAAGTATTAGGCAGAAACTAGTTAAGGTATAGTCAGGGCTTAAGTTTATTTAAGGCCTGGCTAGGGTTTTATTAAGGTATAGCCACAGCGTAAGCCTAATTAAAAGCTAACTGACTTGGTTAAGGTATTATCAGAGTATTTTTAAGGACTATTCATATCCTAAGCCTAGTTTATATTTAGTCAGAGCTAGTTAGGGGCCTAGTCAGAGCCCAGTTAAGGCCTAAATCTGCTTAAGTATTTAATCAGAAACTAGTTAAGCTAGTGCCGGGCCCTAGCTTATTAAGGTGTAAACAGAGTCTTTTAAAGGTACATCCAAGGCCCAAGCCTAATTAAAGGCTAGCCATCTTGGTTAAGGCCTCATAAAAATATAGTTTAAAGTGTAACAATGGCCTGAGCCCAGTTTAAATCTAGCCAGCCTAGTTACGGCCTAACCAGGGCCAAAGTCCAGTTAAGGTTTAGTGAGAAGCCAGCTGAAGCCTAGCCAAGGGCTAAGCCTGGGTAAGGTCTAGTCATAACCTAAGTTTAGATAAGGCCTAGTCAGAGTCTAGTTAAAGTATAGCAAAGGCCTGAGACTAGTTAAGAGCTATTTAACACAATTAAGGTCTCACCAGCCCAGTTAAAGCCTAGTGAGGGCTAATATTAGTTAAGGTTTAATTAGCCCAGTTATAGCCTATCCAGAGGATCAGCCTACTTAAGTCCTAGTCAAAGCATGGTTAAGGCCTATCTAGGGCATAATTCTAAAGGAGACATAGAGTTTAGTTAAGGTATAACCTGGACCCAGTTAAGGCCTAGTCAAGGTCTAAGCCTAGAAAAGCTGTGGTCAGACTTTAGTCAAGTTCCAGCCAGAGTTTGAGCCTACTTAGGGCCTAGTCATCCTAGTTAAGATCGCCAGCCCAGTTAAGGCCTATCCAGGGCCAAAGTCTAGTTAAAGCTTGGTCAGAGTCTAGTTAAGGCAAATGCAGGCCTTAAGTCTTGTTAAAGCCTAGTCAGAGTCTAGTTAAGGCAAAAGCAAGGCTTAAGCCTAGTTAAAGCCTAGTCAACTCAGTGAAGGTGGAACCAGGCTTATGCCTAGTTGAGTCCTAGCCACAGCCCAGTTAGCTTAGCCAGGGACTATGCCTAGTTAATATCTAATCAGTCTAGATAAGGCATTGCCAGGACTTAAGTCTAGAGAAGGCCTATTCATTTCTAATTTAATGTGTAGCAAGGACCTAGGCCTATTTAAGGCCTATTTAGCCCAGTTAGGTCTAGAAAGGGGTAAGCTTAGTTAAGTCCTAGTAAGAGTCCACTTAAGGCAGAGCCAGGGACTAAATCTGGTTAAGGCCTAGCCATCTCAGTTAAGGTCTAGTGAGGACATTGGCCTAATTAAAGGTTAGTCAAGACTAGAGTGCCCAACTCATCCTGGTTTGCCTAAGGTTTTCTATATTTAGCATTGAAAACTCTGGGGCTTGGAAAACCCCTTATTCCTGGAAAGTCAGATTGGTCGGCCACTCCAATCAAAGGTTTTTTTTTTAAGAAAAAACAAAAAACAACTTTTCTTTGTCTTGGAGTTCATGGCTTATAAAACACATTCATAACATTTTCTTGTTTGATTATTATAGCATCCACTTGAGATAGGTGTCAACATCATCCTCAAAATATAGATGAATAAACTCAGGTTTAGAGAGAATAAGTGCCTTCTGCGATGCCATACAATTAGTATCAGAAGTGCAGTTTAAATCTATGTTTAAACTCAAAAGCCACACTTTTTAAAAAACTAAAGCAATAGGGCATCTCCCCATAATTAAACATTGTCTACATCACAAAATTAATACTTGCTTATTGTCGTCATCCTTATTTCTGATCAGGAAAGTGAGTCATAGTGAGCTTAAGTGATCTAAGGCAAGAAAACTTTTAGACTTGAACCTCGGTTTCTCTGCCTTCAAAGTCAATATTCCCCTTAAAAATAATGTTTTTTTCGGCCAGGCCTGGTGGCTCACACCTGTAATCCCAGCACTTTGGGAGGCCGAGACAGCTGGATCACCTGAGGTCAGGGGTTTGAGACAAACCTGGCCAACACGGTGACACCTCGTCTCTACTGAAAATACAAAAAATAGTTGGGCTTGGTGGTGGGCGCCTGTAATCCCAGTTACTCGGGAGGCTGAGGCAGGAGAATTGCTTGAACCTGGGAGGCAGAGGTTGCAGTGAGCCAAGATCATGCCATTGCACACCAGCCTGGGCGACAAGAGCAAAACTTTGTAATAAAATAAAATAAAATAAAATAAAATAAAATAAAATAAAATAAAATAAAATAATGTCTTTTCTTCCATCCTTCCTACTTCCTCAGTGTCAGATACTTCAGTACATACCCGTGTAGCCAAGGTGGTTGTACGTTTCTGCATGTTTCAGTGATGTTTGCATCCATGTATTATCTAAAATCTGTTAAGCGTTTGGTAGATTGTGCTTGCAATGACACTTCTTTTTTTCAGCCAGAGGTTTTATTTATTGAATTGTTGCATGCTGTTTCATTATGGGATATTTGTTGAGGCTTGCATCAGAGTTGACTTAGTAGAGTCAAGCCTCAACTACTCGATTTGGTGTGATCTT